TCGTATAATCCAGGAAGTCTGTTTAGAGTTTATTTATACCAACTGCGAGCCCGATCTAAAATCGTAGTAGACAAATGAAATTTGCTGTTTTATTTATTTTCTTGCTTTTTTTCTACTTTTTTCAGCCCAAATGATATTGAAATACTTAAACAGGTGGAAAGGTCGATAATTGTTCACTGAACAATTAGTCTACTAGTTTATTATATGTCTGTCTTTTTTAAAATAGAAAAAAAACATCCTGCATACAGATTAATAGAGGAGAACGGAAGACCTTCTTTGTTGCTGTAGCAACAAGAGTTTCTAGTTATTATTCTTATTCTTATTTTTCTTCCTGGGAAAATTTTGTACGCGAGTGATCTTGTAAACTACACATCCGACTTTGGTGAAACCTTTTTAGGGTAAGTAGGCATGTTATGTAGATTTGCGGAATCAAGGTCATTTTGCGCGCACGTGCTTGCAAGAGCGCGCACGTGCAAAACTGAAAATGACCTATATATAATGGATATAACCGTATCTTTTCTATTTTGTGACGAAATGTTTTGAAACTTATAATGTAAGGATATATTAGTAGTATGCACAAGATGACATGGTCAAAATAGAAAGATCGCACGCGCATGCACGTGCGCTTCGCTCTGATTGGCTGAAACTAAAGTCTCAATATCTTTTTTGTTTTTTTATAAAATCATTTGAAATTTTGAACATACTCATACATTAGGGAGATCTACAGCCTGTAATATAAGATTTGTCATGAAAGCATGTGCATGCACATGTGCTTGCAAGAGCTCGCACGTGCAACATGAGAAATGCCCAATATAATTGATACAGACGTAACTATTTAAATTATTGATGAAATGCTTTGAAACTCATATCAAAAGTATATATTAGAAGCATAGACAAAATGACATGGTCAAAAAAGTAAGATCTCACGCGCATGCACGTGCGCTTCGCTCTGATTGGCTGAAACTAAAATCTCAATATCTTTCTTGTTTCTTGTCATAATCCTTTGAAATTTTGAAAATAGACCTACATTATTAAGATCTACAACATGATATATAAGAATTTTCATGAAAGCATGCGCATGCCCGCGTGCTGCAATCTGATTGGGTGAAACTTTAAATGGCTATATTTGTTTATATGGCTTTGTTTTTTACGAAATGCTTTGTAATTTAAAACATAGTCATACATTAGGATATCCTAAAATATGATATAGAAAAAAAATTATCAAATCACACGCATGTACGTGTGCTGCAATCTGATTGGCTTAAACTTGAAATGGCTATAAATCCCTTTGTTTTTCAACCAAACAGGATGGGATTTAGAATATAGAGATATAAGGGACTCCTACAAGAAGGTATGGTAATCATGCACGTGCACGCACGTGCGTGCATTTGGAACGAGTGAAATGAAAAATACACTTGAAAGAGTGATTTTTCATACTTTTGGACTGAATGCTTTAATACATCGTATATTAAAATATGTAGATAGTGTAGACAAGATGATATGATCATAACGCACATGCATTGATTTCACATGCGCGCGGGTGAAATGCTAAAATTTGAATATAATTGGTATCCTTCTGAGAAAACGTTATTAAAGTCAAAAATGCACAGAGTTTGTCTTATTTAATCAAGCTTACAGGGAATATGGCACCAAAAAGGAGTTGGGGAGCGTTTGGGGAACATCTGTAACGGTTCCCGTTACAATTAGCACTAGTTCCTCATGCAGTTACATTGTCTTCCACACTCAGTGTTGGCAGCAGCCTAGCTATTTGGAGCAGTTTAGTTCTTTGACCCAAAGTTATATGTTTCATAGCCAATTTGTTTATTCAGCGAAGTAAAGCATATCATATAGATATGCACAATGCTTATTGTTTAAATAGCACTTAAGTTTATTTAAATAAAATTAAGTAGTGGTCCGTTTGCACATACACCAATAAGTATGTAACAGAAGCAAAATAAAAAAAAAAAAACATAATTACATAAGTCGCCATATTAATGATATATAGGATGTATGGGTGTTGTATAGCTGTCACAATGGTGATTTATTGATCCTTGTATCTTGAATTCGTTCTTGATAAGAAACTCAGATGAAAAGATTTTTTGACATAACGCTAAAGTGAAACCAAAAAATTATGTTAATCATTTTGGTTCGTTCGTCTAAAGGCCGGTATACACGATGAGATTTGTAGTATAATGCAAGTATTATAATACTTTTGTATTATAATACTTTTCTGTACTCACGCTTATACATTTTGTTACGTTTCACAAAGTGTACCTGTGAAATTCCGGTTAACTCTTGTTTACAAGTTTGTAATATATGGAACTTGAGCCCGATGTTTATAAACTCGATCCATAAATAATTGTCAATGAACAGTTAAAGTATGAAATGAACTATATATAATTGATTTAATTACTTTATTTATTTAACATGTATTATTAGATGTTTTTAAAAAACTACCTGCGAGGCATTTTCCATGCCTAAAAAATCGATTAATCAATAGGTAATTCAAGATCATAATATATTGATGCCAAATATCAAATCGGTCACAAACTTCCATATGCTGAAAACTTTAACCTTGATCTACATCACCGAATTTCGCAGTAAATCTAGCTGCCTTTCGGTTTCGTTTCGATATTAATGCCACTTAAAAACAAGTACATTGTTCTTCCCAACATCAGTAATTGTAACAATATGTTATTTGTTTCGCTTGTCAAATAATGCACTGTACATACATGTAGCATGATAAGTTTCCAGAATACATTACCCTTTTAGAGAGAATATAATTCAACCATTGACATTGGGGCGAAGGACAAAACACAATAAGCCTAATTTTTAATGCAGTTCCGCGACATGCATATTTCTAGATTCAAGGTTTTCCATTAGATAATTTGTAGGCTTATCAGACCTTCATGTGTTTAAAACTTTCCCTTTCAATTTCCCTTTCATTATTCTTCCTGGGAGTGCTAGACGTGAGTATGCACTTCTTACGTATAGATAAGTGTAAATTAGCTTTGTGTATGAGAACTCTTTCATTTCAGTGATTTTTTTATATATGATCGATTTTTTGAAAAAAGTAATTGTGGGCATTTTTCTCTCTCTAGACGCCATTTAATGGCAATTTTCGAAAGGCATGTATGAATTTATTTTAATGTAAAAAAAGAGAAAGATTCATATGGTAATTTGTATTTATTTTAGCTCACATTAGCTGAAAGTAAAAGTGAGCTTTTCTTACCACCTGTTGCCCATCCTCTGTCCGTCAATCAGCTCGCCTATTAATTTCCAATATTTTCTCAAGAACCTCTTGTCCGATTTTAACTAAGCACAAAGCATTCTTGGGTGAAGAGAATTTTAAACTGTTAAAATAAAGAGTCAATTCCCTTTCATTTAGAGATACAGTAATGAAATTTTAGAAAAATAAAATGACATCACAACAAATCCCTTTGTCATGAACCACTGGAGCAGAGAAGTTTTAAGTTATCTGGAAGCTCTTTGAGATAGATATGGTTATAAATTGTTCAAAATTTTGGGGTAAAGGGAGGTATTAATAAAGGTTTAACAAGGGAGTAAATTTGATTAAAAACAGCAAGACAACAGTTACTCAGGTGAGCGTAAGTCTCCATACATGGGCATGTTTTCAAAATCCTGTCAATGTACAGTTACTGTGATTGATGCTGGCTCTGAGTGTGAATCACGATGTATGAAATGTGAAGATGATGCTTTTTAATATTGCTCAAAATTCCCATTGATAAACAAACACTGTCAGTTCTGTCACAGCAATTACTTCAATTCTACAAACGGATATGTGATCAGGTGTCATCGATGAAAAAACATCCCTTGCAGACTAAAAATAGCTGTTGGGTACACTTTGTCATGATCGTGTAAAATACGCTACTCACCGTTTGGCATCGCCTTTATCTATACGAAAAAGTGTTACAAAGTTAACATCTGAAAACAATGACAGGAAAGTATACATGCATTACAAAAGCTTCCGGAAATACATTGCTGCGTGCAATTGACTGACAAGGTTAGTTATTAACAAGTATTTTTTTCTCTTGTGTTTTTTGTAATATTGCTGGATTTTTTTTTTCAGTATGCATGTTATGCATGTGCATTTTCTTACATTATTTACAATAAAAATAAAGAAAAGTAGATCGTTATACACTTAGTCTAGTAGTTGCTTTTAAAGTGAAAGAAGTAATAATTTTATTAAATGGTGCATTCTAGCACTTTGAGTTTCAGTTTAATTTGGAAAGTCAGGTCATTATGATATACACTGTATCTAACATTAATTAATGCAATTGTATACAAAGTGATTTGTAGGAGTGCATTGATAACAAAAAAAAGGAAAGATGAAAAATATTAAACAATATCAATTCTCGGAAACATTGCCAAGAAATCCCAATAAAAAAGCAAACTCTATGCATTTTCTATGATTGTTTGAAAATTGATCAAACAAGATTTGTTTGTGAAATACAAAAAACATAGCGCCAAAAAGTTATTGAAAAGGTTAAAGTTTTTGGGTACAAACAGAATGACAAAAAAAAGGAAGATCAGGGCTAAAATTATAGTATGTACTCCATAACGTTCGATTAGAAGGATAAAAAATTAGATTTTATTGAAAAAAGTACAGAGCTTTCTTCCGAGAGAATACAAACAAAATTAACAAAATAAAGGGGATGCCCGGCTCGTCGGCCTGAATCCGCCTTTGCATTTATGTTCAGCAACACCGTAACACATCTTGTTTTAATGTATTAGCAAGTTATTGTTCAAAGGATTAACCATATCATATTGTTATCTTGATCTGATTTCCTTTAGAATGTCTAGATTAATACAAATCATGAATAAATTTCAGCGAGCTGTTAAATTCTTTTCTTTTATCTCCAGAATAAACGGGAAATGATTTGTGTGTTGTTGGAGGTTGTGGAGGGGGGAGGGGGGGGGTGTTACAGAGTGAATATGACAGCGCTTCTTATATACGTCTTCTAAATAACCCTCCATATAATACAGAGTGGGTAGAAAACTGGTGTCATCACGAAATCAAATTGAGTTGTATCTTTAATACTGTATTAAAATATATACGTAGGCTTAGCCACCTATATAGAGTCCTTGGAAATATACTGATATCAATCTGATTAAAATAAGCTGTTCTGATACGTAGTACAGCCGTATCGTATCAGAACAGCTGGTTTCAATCAGATTGTGCCTAAATGAAATATGCTAGAAAAAACATGCTAGATCTGTACTCAGCGAAATCATATCCATTTTCTTTTTTTTTCTTAGAAACGAAAATAGAGTTAGGCTAAAACAACATTTCAGGATAAAATACCACGGTGGCCGGTAATATTTTATTTAATTTCTGAAACTTTTCAATTATATTATACATTTCAATATTATGGAGAAATTTGAAGAAAAAAGGAAAGTTTAGCGTGGAGAGATAAATTCTCCAATTTTTGATTAGATCATATGCAGTAGCAGATTTAAGGGAAGAATACGCAGTGATAGGAGCGCGATTTTTTTTATCATGAACTATGAATGAACAAATAGCATGATAATGTTGTAACCGAAAGAAAATCAATGGAAAGGTTTTGTAATGAATCGCAGAAAACAAGTACAATATATGTTTATGAGAACAGTCACTTAAGCAACTTGTCTATTCAATCCAGTGCGATACGCCAACAAAGTGTGCTTTGAAAATTGTCATTCAATGATACCCATGATAATATTTTCATAATTGTTCATAAACAATGTGGCTGGCTTTCCTGTTCTGTTCAGGCCAGTTCAATTTATAGTTTGTAACAAGAAAGATAACTCTAAAAGGGAACTTGCATGTTATATACGTACATAGATTACCAAGAATCATGAAAATATATATTCTATTAGTTCTTAAATTTGATCTTAAATTTTATTATTTTATTCTACATGTAAAATACATAAATAATCAAGTATTTGATACAATAAAATGAAATAAATGTAATAAAAAATTATTCTTTATAATATTATATATCATTCGGGATTTTTTTTTTTAATTTAAGGCACAAAGCGACGCTTATTCCTGCATTTATCCATCAATGTGTCATTACCGGTAAACTAATGAACCTTATGATATGCAACTCATATACGGTACATGAATTATGTTCATCATCTAAAATTAAAACAATGATCACGTTTATGGACTTTTGTATCTCAATATTTAGAACATGACATTGTGAAATACTCGAGGTGAATTATAGTAAAAATGTTCGTGCAAGCCGAAAGTCCAATTTCATGCGGATTTAAAATTTCTGAAGTATTTCAATTTTTTTTTATATTTATCTAAACCTTGCTAAAAACGAAAAATTAACAAGTTCACTTTTTCAGTCATAATTGTTCATTAGTTTGTACATCTATATACGAATATTATATTTCATATAAAGTGCTGGATTTTGATTTTTGAACAAAACATTTTTTTTCATTGATGACCCTACATGTACGTCCTGAAACGTTAAAGAACATAAGATGAATCAATATTGTTAGGCGCCCCCCCCCCCAATTTATGTAAAAAATAAGTAAATAAAATAATATTGATCAATAAATAAAAACAATGTTGGTTGCAGGGTATGCATTTAAGCGCAGTTCACCATTATTTATATTTTATATTCATTAATATACAATTTTGAACCTGACTGGAACTCTTCTGTTTAAGAAGTCGAATAGTTGATGGTAGAACATTGTCAAGGTAAACAAACATTGCTTTTTTTCTTTACGCAGAACACAACATCTCATATATATTTAATTAAACCTTGTTTTGTGGGAAATAAAAAAATCATTTATATATACATGTGTAACATTATATCGTATGGCTTGCAGATAATAAAGCATACTTAACTCTTAATATCCACACGCTAATTCAGACTGCAAATGTATCTTACATGTATAATGGTTTAAGAATAGGCATCTATTCTTTAGCTTGTTGCAGTGAAAAAGTGAGTGTATAGCATTCACTCATCCCTCTCTAAAGTCCAGTTTAAAAGTTTTTACCTGAATCATAAAAATTTAAACGTCCAAAACATATATCACGTGCGGTCAAATAATTTTCAAACACACACTGACACAGTTGATGTTTAATACGAAAATAAGAATTGTGAACGAAAGAACGATCTATCAGCAAATAGTTGTTAAGACAGAATACTGTTCAAGATCTAATACTTCCTCCATCGAACAGATGTAAAAGGTGAAATGGGACAGGGATTACGTGGTAAAAATACCCAAAGAATTTCAGAATTTAAATATCCCCTTTGAAGTGATTGCCATTGGCCCATTTCATTTCCGAGGCCGAGTTACATGTATTACTAAGTACTGACTGCATGCATAAGAGGCGGAAGAGGAAAATGATGTTATTTCATATGTAACATAATAAAAGCGGTTTTTCCATTAGCTGCATTGGAAAAAATCTTTAAATTTGACTGAAGTTCTATGTTTTTCTTTTTCAGAATTCTTTACAACTATTCAGATGAAGAGAATCCCTTCCACTTTAGCGTCAAAATATAATGAAATAATATAATTATTGTTATCAGCTGGAGTGTGAAATAGATGACACCTTTCTTTGAGAATATCACATGAAGGTACGCATTATTTACAAAAAAAAAAATTTGAAAAATTTGTTTAAAGCTCATAATTGGTCAGAAATCAATTCGCTTCATACATGTAAACACCCCCAAGAACAGAATGACAAATAAATTTGATGTTTGCAATGACGGAACAGCAACATGTAGTTATTTTTTTTTTCTCGATCATCTTTTTCACTTATATTCAAATCGATAACCAAATCCATTACGTTATGTCACTGTAGCTGAAGACTGGGTGGTTTAAAAAAAAAAGTATAACTGTTGTTTTCTGACACTTTCTAGCTTTGGTCAATCAACTACCTTTCACATTATTTAATTAATATTTTTTTTAGACATCTCCAAAACCTTTATAGTCGTCTCTACAAGTGATAAACTTGCTTGATTAAAATTATTTGTTAGATTACTGAAAATTCATATCCAGCGAGTTTATTGCCAGTAGAGACAACTATAAGTGTAAGGGGGTGGGTAAACTATACATATTGGCTACAGAATGTGCCTAGAATTAGGGAGTGAAAGGTAGTTGATTGACCAAAGCTAGAAAGTGGAGAAATTCTCCCCAAAAGAGCGCAAAAAATATTGCGCCGTAAAGTGCGCCTTTTTTGCACTATGGGATCTGTAGCGTTATGGTCAAAGACAAATATATTTAAGAAATAAAGGCTTTATGGAAGATTTGATCATGTGCCAACCCGTTTTACATCTCAATAAAACTTAAAAATGATACCTTATTACTTATATTTACATTTGTGACTTATTCATACTTTATGTTTTGCCTGATTGTCACTTTTAACGTGTGAAATGCGTTAATTTTTCAAACCCAAAGGCATGTACGTAATCCACTAAACGCGCGTCAACCCTTTATGACGTCATAGATAAATTACGTCGAACGTTTATCCAAACGCACATCTATGACCTCTTGACCCCGTACCTGTATTTATACAGTTATAAAAACGCTTGCCTTCAGTAGTGTTATATAAAGGAAAACATTTGCAAATGTAAATATAAAACCATAACGCTACAGATCTGCAGCTACCAATAATTGTGCAATTAACATACATTTATATTTACATCCACTGAATATTTTCTTCTTTATTTCTTAAGAAACCCCATTGCGTTCATCACTGCATAAACTACAGTAGGCAGGTCGCCAATACAGATTTCTTAATCAGTTGCTGTTCCATCAATGAAACGTATAAAGACGTTCGCATCATTAATACAAAAATTAATCTTTTTAATCCTTCTTTAATTGATTATTTAAACAGATATAAATATAAACAATAAAATGCTTTCTTTGTTTGTTGTTACTGGAATGAACGGTCGCAGCTATTGCAGAAAAAATTTACATAACCCGGTAAAGTAGTTACGTGTCTTTTTTTGTATTTGAGATCAATAAAAAGCTAGGTGTATCGAAAATGAACACTATACCAGTTACGTATTTCTTTAAAAAATAGGCTTTTGTTTGCCTCAATCCTTTGATCTTTTATCGACAATTGAAACACAAAACAATCATTAATTTATCTTTAAAATAATAAGCCGAGCGCACAACTAGGGGCCTATGTGTTTTGTCTAACTGTTTAAATTTATATCTTTATATATTTTACAGTTTGTCAATTTAACGTTTTATTGCTAGTTTTAAATATTTCAACATTTACGACACATGAGATCCTTCATGAGGTATAAATCATTTTAAAAAATCGTCTGGATTAAAAAAATCAATATTTATAATATAAAATTGCCTTCGCGCTGCCCGATATTCGATCCTTAGTTTAAATAATGTTGAGACAACTTCGATTATCGCATGACGTGTAAAGCTCTATCTGCTTGAAACCTCATTCATGATGACCTAGTTAGATAAAAAGCAAAATATGTGTACATTCATTCGGTAAGTACATGTATGCATAATTAGATAGTTTTTTTTTATGAATTTGGTACTCGTACGCAGTATGATTCGGCTCTTCAGATCGAATATTAAGTTAAAGAAATAAGTTTCAGTCTCAGTGGCATAAGATTTTTTAAAATAACTTTCAACAATCTATCCATGTATATATTTATTTTTATCTATGCATTCTCCCAACGGCCACGTCGTCGATCAGGCATGATATGCTGAGAAATAGCTATTGGCCTTGAAATGAATTTTAAAAAAAGGAGTGTTGAGACCGTTAGATTATCATTGAATAAGAAAAAATGTATGTGCCAAATTTAATGCTGCTTTCTCTAATGCACCACGTTAAACCCTATAAATACTTTTTTTTCTTCGTTTGAAAAATCGAATCACCTCGTGGCTTTTTTTGGCTTGTCGGAAAGGCCCGAGAGGTTGCGATTGTCCTTTGATTTTTTTTTTTATTAATTTCATTGGCTGATCTCAATCTCATTAATCTCATTGGCTGGTTATAGGGGGTAAATTCAAATGGAATTTGTCGGTAAACAAAAATTAACCGATAGAGTAACTGGGGATCGTTTAGGATCAGATAAAGTCTTATATCATTAAATCGTTTTGATACATGTACCAGGTAAGAACCAGGTAAGAACAGTTCAAAAGGTCATTTGAATAAAATAATTGAGCATCCACAGGCAGTGAATAATTACCAATGTTCATAAACATGTATCATTGTGAAGGAGAGTTATAATGTTTTTTTTTTTCATCCAGACGATCAATGACATGTTTTACTTGAAAATATATAAAGATATGTGTATAGAATTAAAAAGAATAATCTCAAGATCGAATCGAAGTAGCTACAGATCTTTCATCTTCTCTAGCCAAGGGTGGTCCAGATTATTTAAGGAATAATTGTCTAGTTTTCGATTTCTTGATGTGATCATGATTGACTTTCGGGATGATTTGCATAATTGCCTAAGGCGTTCATGCATAAAATTACCACTCAAGCCAATCGATTGGTCATCTTCATAAATTTCATAAATTTGAAAAATCTGACAGTTATTTCTTATATACATGGTATTGATTTCACCAATCCACATGTTACAAGCCCCGCTTAATTCTCTCAAGCTATTTGTGCCGCCCTGCACGTGATTTTTTTTAACTGCGCCTATCGATGAAGAAGTACATTAATTGATTGAGAAATAAAGTACATTGAGTATTTGTAATTTTATCTCAAATTAAGACATTGGAAATGTAAATTTTAATACATGAAACATTTTGGTAGAGTAAATTCAAATTTTTTTAATCCATGCAGTCTTGGGATATGATGAGGACCTGATAACGAATCGAAGTGTTACAACAAATTGCAAATGTAATCTGAAGTAGGGGATGAAAGTTCAACTTCTGGATGTTTATATAGGATAAAAAAAATTCATTAAGAACAGCAACAGCATTTTTAGTATGTTATTTATACAAACATCTTCAAATCGATAGTGCAAATTAAAGTTAAGGCAAATCACAAAGCCTGGTTGTTGGGATGTAGGGGGCAACATATGTGGAAATCTTATAATTGCAATTAAGAAAAAAAAAATCTCAAGAACAGGCGAACTTATGTATCTCAAATGACTAGTATTGTTTTTTGTCCTTTTGTTAACTGTTCCAATTGTATTTTCTTATAGATCTGGAAGGGATGTGCTAGGAAACGAGTACTGAGTAACATACTTATGACTAAGAGCATTTTTTTTTAAATCAGAGAAGAAAGGCAAATATACCAACTTGTCATCCTTCCTCTTACAAGATCTACCTCTCTTTTTGATGAAGCGTTATGCATTTTATAATATATGCAGGTGCGTTGCGGTGTACTTCATTCACCTCATGGAGTAAAAAAAGATGATCTGCCACTTTTAATGTAAATCAGCTATCATAAAGTTTGCGATAAAGATTTACTTATAGAAATAGTATTTTAACAACATTGAAAGTAAAGCTCAATCAGCCAATTCCATTAGAAGTCTATTTGTAAAAATTAAATTGGGAAATATATATTTTTAAATTATGAATACAGGTACTATAAACATTGGTTTTGTTAAGACACAGAAAACTTCCTTCTACTTGGTAAAAGAAAATCCTCAAAATAAGAGTAACGTTTGAGTGAGTAATTATTAGTACATATAATTTCAGCCATTTTTTAATGTTTAACTATATATACATAATCAGACTTAACTGAAAATGATTTCAATTTAAAAAAAAAAAAAAAAACAAAAACAAACAAAATCAATCCTCCTTTTCTGAGGAAAAATAAATGTTATATGTAGTCTAGAATATAATACCCATCCATTGTATATATATATTTTTTTAAAAAATATATTGTTAATTAAGGTAATATGTACACGTACTTTTACAAATAAAATCTAATAATTCTTATATTTTAGCTGGCCACCCTTCTGACGAGGACAGGCGGAAGTGTCCGAAACACGGCATCAGTGCCTGTGTAAAGGGTACACACTGGGTCTGAGATGAAGATGGATTCCATGTTTCTGTTAAGGGTTATATTGTTAACCTGTCCTGGAACCATTTCATGTTTACAGATTCGGAGGGCAGCTGTAATCATTTTTCTAACTGACATCCATGTATAACGTATAATTATATAAAGCTATATACATATTACATGTAAGCAGATACATATGAACATGTATTTATTGTAAATGTTTATTTTATCTCCTACATAATTTTTCGGTGATTCTTAGAAATGCATAATATGAAACACTATAGATTTCAGTGTAGAATATATAACTCAAGATTTTGTACAGGAGATAAAACTCTATAATTATAATGTACGTAAAAACAAAAAAAAAAGTAACCGATTAAGGACTAGAATATAAAGGGATTAAAAATACATGTATTTAGAAATGAGTAACAAAATTACTTATTTATTTATTTCAGATAGGGGTGTGTGATCATTCTTTGGAAAGTGTCCAAGAAGGTTTCGTTTGTCCAGTAAATAAATCCGAATGGGAAAAACGAGCACAAGTTTTCCATTGTGAAACATATTCACAGAACTGCACGGACAAGTCGTTGTTCGTTTACCATTGTCTTATTAATCCATGGTCCAATGGCACAATAGAAGTCTGTGCACCAAGAATTAAAATTTTTGGTAAAGATCTATTTATTAGAAGTAAATGGTACAATCAAATATTTTTTGACTGGTCTCGAGCATCTTCGTATGGTCGACCACAACCAGTATGTTTGCCTCCAACCTAATATCATCGGGCACACTGTTTAATTCTTGTGTTCGACAAATGAATGTTGCCCTCGAACCAAGTATTTTTATACCTTATTCCTTTCCGAATTCATTGTGTCATTCTAATTTCAAACCGTACAATTTCAAACCTTTACAATCGCAGATCGCACACGTTTCAATTAAATGTGTAATAATCAAATCTCGTTCATTGCAGGTAAAAAATGTGCTGAATTCAACATAGGTGGTGCACGTGTACAAACAAATTACAAAAGAACATGTCAGTTATGTCAAAAGAGATATTATTCGTCTGAGGGCTACAAATGTAAGTTTAACATGCAATTGTTTTAAGAGTTATTTTCTATAACCGCTTTATACATTTTGGCAAGCATGATTACCAAAGAGCTCGGTTCACCTTACGCATAAAACGGTCCTGAAGATATACAAATTTATTGGCTAACACTTTATGTTCCTTTTTAGCTCACCTCAACGAAGTTGGGGGAGCTGATGTAATACCCTCGGCGTCGGTGTCGGCGTCGGCGTCCCGGGTTAGGGGACGACCATTTGATTCTGAGGGGGGGAGCTGGCAGATTTTGGAAATAAATAATCTGTCCCTGAAAATGTTGGAAATAAATAATCTGTCCTCCACTACAGAGAAAATATATAATCTGACCCTGACTTATGTTCATAATTAAATATTATAAAAATACACTTTTTATTTACGTCTAATTTAATCTCAAAAGTCTTCAATTTTTTTTGGCTCGCTTCGCTCGCCATTTTAGAACCAAATAGTATTTAAAATAAGATTACCAGACTGGATACTTAAGTATCAACATGACAATTTGCACTTAGTTGGTGTGATGAATAACTTAAAATACAAACCAATTCTTATACACCACATAAGATATATTTTCTCGTCAAATAATTATACTTTCCAGATAAATTAATACAAAATATACACTGGCATATTTAAGGGGGACGTACATGTGTATGAACCCCGGCCCTCCCTTAAAATTTCAAAGTATGATACGAATAATAATAATATTAATAATGCCATACTTTGGGACAATACCAATGATTTTGTGCCTAGTATTACTCTTAAAATACACAAAATCCCAAGAGCTTCAGGGGGTTTCGCCCCTAAGCCCTTTTCATTCAAAGTATGATATGACTTAATAATGTCATACTTTGGTGCACATCTAACCAGTTCCTACAAAAGTTTTGCTCTTATACATATTGAAAAACCAAAGAGCTTCAGGTGGCTTTGCTCCCTGAAGTTCATTCAAAGTACGGTATGACCAGTATTAATTATGTCATACTTTGGTTCATAATAACCAATACCACTATAATAGTGCCTGGTTTTACTCTTAAAATACACGAAACCCCAAGAGCTTGGGGGGATGTAGTCCCTCGGCCCCCACGAGGGCTTCGCCCAGGACCCACTGGGCTCCTTACGGCGGCCCAAGACCTCTTGCCTAAACAAAGTTATACCTGTCCCCTCCCCAAATTCTGTATCCGAATATGGTATATAAATGATTAGTCTTTTAGAATCAGTTGATCAAGGTACGGTGGGATAATATAGAAGAAAATAAATAATCTGTCCTTGATAATCTTGAAAATAAATAATCTGTCCTCGACAGGCATGAAAATAAATAATTCGTCTCTAAAAAATTTGCCAGCCCCCCCCCCCCCCCTTTCAGGATCAAATGGTCGTCCCCTTAAGGTTAAGTTTTTTTGTAGCAGTTTTCTTTTTAAGTACTTCTATGTCCTATATTGATTAGACATGCATGGAAGATGTTTCTAGTGGGTTTCATTGTACCAGTAAAAGTTTCAGATTCTGCAATTTCAGCAAAGGAACGACCAGGTTAACATTTTTGGTGCAGTTTTTGGCGTAGGTCTCATTTCCCAGTAACCATAAGCCTATGTAGAAAACTTGCATGGATAATAATCTAAGGATGCACATTACCAGGCTTGCTTCGGATGCAGAATCTGAGCTACATTTTCCGGTTGAGTGAATAGGTTAACTTTTTTGGTACAGTTTTCATTTCAAAGATACCATGAGCTCTATAATGACCAGACTTGCATAAATGGTACATCTTAGGATGCATACTACCGACTTGCTGGTTGCTGTATCTGACATAAATTTTCCGATTGAGTGAACAGATTTAAGTTTTTGGTGCTGTTTTTATTTCAAAGATACTATGAGCCCTATGAAGACCAAACTTGCATGATGGTACATCTTAGGATGCATACTACCGACTTGCTTCGGATGCTGATCCTGACCTACATTTTCCGGTTGAGTGAACTGGTTAAAATTTTTGGTGCTGTTTTCATTTCAAAGATATTATGAGCCCTATGAAGACCAAACTTGCATGGATGGTACATCTTAGGATGCATACCACCGTCTTGCGTCAGATGCTGAAACTGAACTACATTTTCCGGTTGAGTAACCAGGTTAAAGTTTTTGGTCCAGGATTCATTTACAAGTAACTTTGAGCTCTTCGATAACCAAACTTGCATTGATTATAATTCTAAGGGTGCATTCTACAAGGCTGGCTTCAGATGCTGAATCTGACCTACATTTTCTGGATTAGTGAAAAGGTAATTTTTTTTTTATACAGGTTTCATTTCCAAATAACTTTGAGCTATATTTAGAGCAAACTTGCATAGATGATACATCTTAGGATGCACAATTATGTTCAGATGCTGAATTTGTTCTACATTTTCAAGATAATGGACCTGGTTAAAGTTATGGGTGCAGGTCTATTACCAAGAAACTATAAGGCTTATATAAACCAAACTTGCACAAATGATGCATCAAGGGATGAAAACTCTCAAAGTTGCTTCAGAAGCTGGCTTTTAATTAGGTTTTTATGTCGAAGAACTAGTTTGAAGTTTTTATATAGGCCTATTCCAAAGTAGCTGCAGAACTGTAGCTCTCCGAAAAAATATATATTGATAGACCGGAGAGCTACAGTGCCACCCATTAAATAAACTGTATATTTATTGCGCACAAAAAAGTGCGATCGGTTCTGGATTCATTCTTTCAAATTCTTACCTCAATTGCAAAAAAGCTAGATTTTAATAATTCCTTATTCCTCTATCAATCACATTTGTTGTTTACATATGTAGGAAGCGTTTTGACAGAATTATCTTGCAAACAAAAATGGCAGTATAAGTAGGCAAAATTTCCGATGATCTCAATTTCAGGGCCAGGAGGCAATTAAAAACAATTACAAAGAATGTTTTATTGTGGAAACAGTGAAAAATATGTAAGTAACACACTGTTAGTAATGTTTTGAGATGATAGTTTTAAACACATGGAGAAATAAGTCGAGAACCGCATTGAGCGCACTTTTTCGTGCGCAATAAATATACAGTTTTTTTAGTGGGTGACACTGTAGCTCTCCAGTCTATCAATATATATATATATTTTGGAGAGCTACAGTTCTGCAGCTAATTCCAAAGTATCAAATCAAAATTTCATAAATTTTGCATTTTTGGATGTACACTTTTTGTTGTTTAATTGTGTGACTTAATCGTTGAGGTGAGCTCTGTAATCTCTGATTACCTATGTTTAAACATCAAATAAAGTGGAAACTTAGTACTTTCATTTCCTATTAAAATTCTAATGAAATGAAAGTACTACTACTTTGAATTAGATTGGATTTTCAGCTTCTTTGAATCTTTATTTAGCCCTTTTAGATACACTTTAGACTTACAAAATTATACAAACCACTCTCCATTTTTTTTTTACTTTATTGCCACTTATTAAATAACCTTTCAATTATACATCGTATCAAAAGTCAAATTTTCAAGCCTGAAAATCTATCATAAAAAGAATAATTCAATGAAAAACTAACCTTTAGTCATAGATGAACATGTGTTTGCAATATTCTAAAAATACATTTCTTGGTTGCCGTGGAAACATATAGAAGCCACACGAAGGGCGTTATGACTACGTTTTCTCAACTAACTTTTTAATTTTTGAAATGAAAAGTCTAGACTTCCTGTTCAGAAAATGATCAGAAAAGTCAGACTTGACGAATTAGTTAAACTTAACTGATAGTCAATGTTTACTGTCCTCTTTTTTTCATATCTTTTGCAAAAGTTCATTGTTATAAATGATAAATAAAAAATTCATTTTAGATCAAGAATGTTATAAAATGGATGATGTACAGAAGTCAACTATGAAAAAAACATCGCATACCAGTTGGTTTAAAATTTCAAGTGCAGGGGAAGACCAATACATCAGGAATACCACAAATCAAACGTATGATACCGTAATATAATCAATTCTGTTCTTCTTATTGTGTTGTAAATACATCTATGTTGACAATTATCCTATTTTCATTAAGCACCTGCCTGGTAATTGGGGAGGGAGGGGGGGGGGGTAGTACATGTATACTGATCGGAATGTCCTTCAGTCCGTCTGTACGTCCGTCCGCCCGTCTGTTACAGTTTGCTGTACCCAACTCTTATCTGCAACTTCTCTAATACCACTATTTAATTGCATTTTATAAATATGATATTAAAGAGTATCCATCTCTTATCCAGAATACCCATAGGCGTAGTCACAGGGGGGGCAGCGGGGGCACTAGCCCCCCCCCCCCCCCCACTTTCAGATCTGGGGGGGCAAGAGTATGTCTGTGCCCCCCCCCACTTTTTAATGAAGAACAAAAATTGAAATTGAAAGTAACTTGCATTTGAAAAAAAAGTTGGCCACTACCCCCCCCCCCCCCCCCCCCCCCCCCCCCCCCCCCACGAAATAGGATTTTCGTGTTTGGGGAACTTTAATTCTTTTTTTTTTTGCTTGTTAAAGAATTTCTGGACTTGTGCCCCCCCACTTTTAAGTTTGTGACTACGCCTCTGATACCTCAAATACCAATAAATGAAATTTAATGATACTTTTACAGATCTTTTATTACATAATGCCATTATGCACCTCTTACTTTACTTTTTGATCGGAGGCACAATTTGGGTTTCTCATATCAAAACGTAGACATTTCTAGTATTTATCATATTGAAAGGCACCTATCTCTTATACTCATCTCCTTCTATACCACTGAATAAAAATAATTGATACTTTCATAGAATGTTATTACATACTGTCATTGTGTACCTTTTATTTTACTTTTTTTTTTTATCTGAGGCTTATTTTGGGTATCCCAGAGCAAAACATGGAGTTTGCTATTATAAAAATATGTGAAGTGATATATCATTTTATGAGCCCCCTGCTTATACCCCCGCTTGAAAGGCGGAAGGGTATATGATAATCAGGATGTCAGTCAGTCCGTCTGCATAGCTGTCAATTCGTCTGTAACGCTTTGGGGTATCCATCTCTCATCCGCAACTCCTTACTTACAACAGAATATAATTTTATGAGCCTTTCACGGAATCTGTATTATTTGTTGCCATTGTGCACCTCCTATTTTACTTGACAAAAATGTTGATCTGACATTTTGGTTTTTCCATTGCAAAACATGAACACTGCTATTATATTTATATGAGAGGCCGGGATATCACATGAGCTCACATTATCACTAGTTTTATATTATATAATTATTGTTTTCAAGTTTAATATTGTTATTGAGTAGACCTTTCAAGATAGAGTTTATCACTGCCTTCACGTAAGCACCCTATGAAAAAGGAAAATTTTTGTCCCGCGAAAAGCCACGCCCTCTTTGCGGAGCTTGAGGGAATTTTGAATTGCTTAAATGTGGTGGTATATTTCAATTATATTCTCAGGGGTCTCTCTTTCACGAAAAATTTATGAATTGTTTGTTTGTTGTAGGTGCTTTTCAATAATTCTTCATGCATATGTGACATTATCATCTTGAACAGGGAACTAATATCTATAACACAAAGTAGACTTAGGCATTCATCTATCTTTAGGATCAACATTAGCATTGTCTGAGAGTACAAAAAGCAACATAAGCATGGGGAAATAGATGTTTTTTTTTGACAATCAGTTGAGATGGTGAAGAAACCGGTTTTTAAAAAACACAATAGAAGTATTTTAGTTATTTTTTATGTGAAATATTATATATTTATTGAACTGTAACAGATTTGCATTTCTATGAAACTAAATGAGTTGGAAAAAGTATTGGAGACTTGACCCTATTCTGACTAGGGGATACAAAGAAAATTGAGTTATTAAATTATAACGGTATATATTGACGAGCTGATTTTCTTTCTTTCACAGACATTTGAAGTTTTGCTTCTACTGGGACATGTATTATTTAAAAAACAAGATGTGTTTGTAAAACACTGATGCCCCCGTATGGCAACATAGCAAAGATTAAGCTTTTCTTAAACGCAAATTTAATTAATTGATACCAAAAGTAGGGTATTCTCACTGGAAAACAATTGTGAAATTTGAAAGTAAGCTAATGTTAAAGTTTCTCCAAGGTCAAGGTCAAAAGGTCATTGTAATTAGTATCAAATGAAAGGTCTTGCCACATAAAATACTTATGTATAGTATGAAAGCCCTAGCCCTAACCGTTCAAAAGTTATGGTCAACATTCAATTTCTTAAAAAGTAGGTCAAACTCCAAGGTCAAGGTCAAAGGGTCAAAGTTATTGTTATCAAATGAAAGGTCTTGTCATAAGGATCAAATATGTAAAGTATGTAAGCACTAGCCCTAACTCTTTAAAAGTTATGGTCAAGGTCTGCTTTTTAAAGTAGGTCAATCTCAAAGGTCAAGGTCAAAGGGTCAACGTTCTTGGTATCCAATAAAAGATCTTCTCACAAGAATTACATATATGAAGTAAGAAAGCCTTACCCCTTACCGTTCAAAAGTTATAGCCAAGGTTAAAGTTTTTTTACATGTACGGAAATCTACAAGGTCAAGGTCAAAGGGTCAAGATTGTTGGTGTCCAGTAAAAGGTCTTTAAACAAACATTACATGTGTGAAGTATAAATGTCCTGGTGTCTACTGTTTGAATGATATGGCCAAAGTAAAATTTTAAAATTTTCATTTAAAAGTGGGTCAAACTCCAAGGTCAAGGTCAAGAGGTCAAATTTGGTGGTACCCAAAGAAAGGTCTTCTCACAAGGAATACACATATGAAATATGAAAGTCATAGCTCCACGAAATCAAAAGTTATGGGCAAGGTTAAAGTTTTTGCGGACAAACAGACAGAGAGACAGACAGACAGACAGACACGACAAAAACTATATACCCCCGAAACTTCGTTTACGGGGGCATAAAAATTACATTTGATCTCGTAAATCTCTGACTGAGAAAAATCAAACAAACACACATCACAAACAGAAACACGCTAATTCAGAAAATATGTGCCCCCGCTTCAAGAAACACAAGATGTGTTTGTAAAACACTGATCCCCCGTATGGCAACATAGCAAAGATTAAGCTTTTCTTAAATTCAAATTTAATTAATTGGTACCAAAAGTAGGGTATTCTCACTGGAAAACAATTGTGAAATTGAAAGTAAGCTAATGTTAAAGTTTTTTTAATAATTATAAAAATCTCCAAGGTCAAAAGGTCAATGTAATTAGTATCAAATGAAAGGTCTTGCCACATAAAATACTTTTGTAGAGCATGAAAGCCCTAGCCCTCACCGTTCAGAAGGTATGGTCAACGTTCAATTTCTTAAAAGGAAGGTCAAACTCCGACGTCAAGGTCAAATGGTCAAAGTTATTGTTATCAAATGAAAGGTCTTGTCATAATGATCAAATATGTAAAGTATGAAAGCACTAGCCCTTACTCTTTAAAAGTTATGGTCAAGATTTGCTTTTTTTAAAGTAGATCAATCTCAAAGATCAAGGTCAAAGGGTCAAAGTTCTTGGTATTCAATGAAGTGTCTTCTCACAAGGATTACATATATGAAGTAGGAAAGCCCTATCTCTTACCGTTCAAAAGTTATGGCCAAGGTTAAAGTTTTTTCACAGGTAAGGAAATCTACTAAGGTCAAAGTCACAGGGTCAAAGTTATTGGTATCCAGTGAAAGGTCTTTTAGCAAACAATACACATGTGAAGTATAAATGTCCTGTTATTTACTTTTCAAAAGATATGGCCAAAGTAAAATTTTAAAATTTTCATGTAAAAGTGGGTCAAACTCCTAGGTCAAGGTCAAAAGGTCAAATTCGGTGTTTCCCAAAGAAAGGTCTTGTCATAAGGATCAAATGTGTAAAGTATGAAAGCACTGGCCCTAACTCTTAAAAAGTTATAGTCAAGGTTTGATCTTTTAAAGTAGGTCAATCTCAAAGGTCAAAGGGTCAAAGTTCTTGGTATCCAATGGAAGGTCTTCTCACAAGGATTACATATATGAAGTATGAAAGCTCTATCCCTTACCGTTCAAACGTTATGGCCAAGGTTAAAGTTTTTTCACAAGTACGGAAATCTACAAGGTCAAGGTCACAGGGTCAAAGTTGTTGGTATCCAGTGAAAGGTCTTTTAACAAACATTACATATGTGAAGTATAAATGTCCTGGTGTCTACTGTTTAAAAGATATGGTCAAAGTAAAATTTTAAAATTTTCATGTAGAAGTGGGTCAAACTCCAAGGTCAAGGTCAAAAGGTCAAATTTGGTGGTACCCAAAGAAAGGTCTTGTCACAAGGAATACACATATGAAATATGAAAGTCATAGCTCCACTAAATCTAAAGTTATGGGCAAGGTTAAAGTTTTTGCGGACAAACAGACAAACAGAGAGACAGATAGACAGACAGAGAGACAGACAGACAGAGAGACAGACAGACAGACAGACACGACAAAAACTATATGCCCCCGAAACTTCGTTTACGGGGGCATAAAAACTGTTTCATACACACAACAAGCATGTATATTAGCCAGTTTATTCGCAGTTTACATTGACGAGATGGTATGTAAAACTAATATGTGATTTAATAAAATGTTTCGTCTTTACTAATTCTTACCGATGTTGCATTTTTACATGTATATGAATTCAAGCTGTTTACGAAATATAGCGTATCAGTACCTCTTATTGAATTTCCTTCTTTCAGACAAAAAAAAATCTTTGGATATGAAGAGCAAGAGACAGGATACCGGTATGGAGAAGGAGAGCTGTTCATGGAAATCATAATTCCGATCTGTATAATAGTTATAATTGTTCTGGCGCTATTTCTATTATTTCGAAAGTATAGAAAGAGGAAAAGGAATGCATTAGGTAAATATTATAACACGTCATGCTGAGAAATGTTTTTTGAAAATACATTTGTATTTGTAAGCTTAAATGTTTTTGTACGTAAGAAAGCAATATATTTAATAGAAACAGCTTGAAAAGATCAATTAATTTTCCGTCAGTATATATAAATAAAGTAAGCTTTTATGTCAAAAAAGGTGAAAACATGTTAGAAATCGTATCAGCATTTTATATACGAGTAGCCTCAAGTCAATGTAGTGAAAAGTGTCGTTCAGAGTACATTGTAATGCATATAGTATATGTATAACAATTATAACGTTTTGAATGCGAAATTTTTAAAGCCATTAGACTCCACTGGTTTTATTGCCGTTGGTTAGATATTTCTGGCTGGATCCAGGAATTAATTTTTTCTTCAAAATTATGTGATTTTCATTTTAGTAATTGTTATCTCAGTAGTGATTGCGTTTTATATTTGTACTATTTCTCTTTAGATTTTTAACCACTAAACATATTTTTTTTTTTTGTGTAAATTCCTTGGAATCGATAAAATTATTTATACTTCTTTTTTTTTCTGAAATAGGAAACGAGAATTTCTTAGATAATGGAGCAAATGAAGACATTTCAAATGAAACTGGAGTAAGGGCTTTGGAATCAAAAGGTATGTTGGTGTAAAAAGGCTCTGAGTTTTAAGCTTAGCCAAGACGTTAGACATAGGAAGTTTTATCGGAACTTTCTTTCAGAAAAAATATATATATGCAGTAAGATTTATCAAATTGCAGAAAGGCTGTAACGTTTTGAATGTTTTATTCCAGCTATAGGATTCAATTTGCTTGGATAGGGTTCCTTGGAAAGAAACCGGAACTTTTTTCATTTATTGTAATTTTTTTTCTTTCTTCAACTGGGGCGGTCCTTCGGATGAGACTGTATAAACCGAGGCCCCGTGTCACAGCATGTGTGGCACGATAAAGATCCCTCCCTGCTCTAAGACCGTAAGTGCCGAGCATAGGCCTAAACTTGCAGCCCTTCACCGGCAATGGTGACGTCTCCATATCAGTGAAATATCCTGGAGAGGGACGTTAAACAGTATACAATCAATCAATCTTTCTCCAACCAGCATATACACTCTTCCTCAACAAAGCAGTCTAGGGATTTGATACATCTTTTATTAGATCTGAAAGAAATAGTTTATGCATATTTATAATTAAAACACATAACCTAAACACAATTTTATCAATATTGAAAGAAAATAGAAATTTCAATTGTGTTTTAAATATATTATGAATCAGATTAGTGCATATATCTGAACTATGTATCTTGTGAATTGTACATGTACTCTTTAGAATTAATTTGATTTTTCTTGGAATTGATTAAATTATTTCATATATATATTTATATATATATATATATATATATATATATATATATATATATATATATATATATATATATATATATATATATATATATATTTAACTTAATCCAGGAAATGAAAGTTTAATAAAAGATACAAAAGATGATGCTTTTACAAATACAACTGATGAAGTAATGACTTCTAGATCAGAAGGTATGTTTATCTGGAAGGTTTTTGCTTTAAAAATTATTTCTGTTCCGAATCACAACAGGACATTAAATAAAGGTAAGTAACTGCTCTTTCGCCAAGCGCACGAAACTAAGATAGAAGTGAATTCAGAGTTTTTTAATGCAAATAAAAGAAGGGGTCTCATGTCACAGTAGGCGCTAAACGCGTTAAATGCTAGATCTAATATCGATACCACCTTTACTGCTATACATATTAACCCCCCGTTCACACATAGACGCCGCTTCTACTACAACCAAACCTTGGTCGAAAGCGTGGCCGATCGTAACAAAATCGCAGGAGAAACGTCGTGGAGTCGTCATAAGCGTAGTATGATCGCAGTAGGGTCTTCATGATCGGAGAGCTCTACGCTCTCATCACGCTTACTTTGAACATGTTCAAAACAAGCGTAGCGGGATCGTGGCCAACATGAATCGGGGTTAAGTCGTGAAAGGAGCGTAGTAGAAGCGCCGTAATCATGCAAGCAGCGCGAAATCATCGTAGAGAGATCTTCGTGATCGTAGTAAAAACGACGTAAGAGCGTAGGAAATTAACAAGCAAGCTCATACAACGCTCCCTCTGCGTTTGTACTACGTTCTCACTACGATATCTCTACGTTCCTGGAGATCCTACAAAGACCTACAATGACATTACGCCGACCATATCACGACCTATCAGGCAGAAGTTTGTTCTTATAGCGTTGATATTTGACAAATTATCATCTGAAAACTACATGTAAGGGGTGACACTATACTTGATGATCATTTGCAATTGAGACTTTTCACATCTTGTTACAGTAAAAATTGAAAATGCCCGTAAATAATGTGGAAAAGGCCGCAAAAATCTGCGGTTGCACGATAAAATTCCATCACCGTCAAAATCTTACTAGAAGCGTAATGCAATCGTAATATGATCGGCACCACCGTAGCGACATCGCCGTACAGTCATCTAGGTCTGTGTAGTTTCGTAGTATGGTCTTCAATGTCGTAGTGGCAGCGTAGCGTAAACGCAGTAAACACGGCAACAGTCTGCGTAACATCGTAATAGAAGCGTGTTAGCAACGCGTTTGACGTAGGGACATCGTAGCACGGTCGTAACGAAGACCATAATTTGCCAAATTGCTCAGTTTAGACACCGATCGACTGTGATCTGCCCCGATCCGGAACTTATTCAGATCGTGACTTGATCGGTATGATCGCCGTAGAATCGCAGCTCTGTGTAAACGGGGGGTAAGTAAAAATCTTTGCCTAAAAGCAGGGGATATATCTGAGTTAGATAAACAGATAACTGTAATATATAAAGGATAACAATAAGAACAAATATACAAATGTATAATTTATTTTTAAAATATTTTGAAAAGAATATTACTGTCGGAAAAAAGAAGGCTATCATTTGATAAACAAATAAGAATTATGTGTTAGCTACTTTTTGCATGTACTTAATGTTTGATATACATGTGTGTACATTCACAGAATACTACTATTACGGAGAATAAGAAGTTCACACGGAAGAAATACATTTTTTCTGAATGTTCTAATTCTGCTTGACTTTAATTTCTATTCCAATATAAAAGCCATTATAACACATATTTGAAAATAAGTATATTTAACTCCCAGGCTGATATTATTGACCAGGATCTACCTATATGATTGTAAGAAAAGGTCCATTAATGTGTTTTAAAAAGGCGTATTATTGTAATCACAAGTTGTGTTCACATTTCTTTGAATTTAAGCCTATCAAATGAAATTTTATGAAAGATATATTTCATAATTCAAAAATTTAATAATTTCTTAGATAAGGTTTATAAGAACAGAATGTGCATTTTTCATTATTCAAATACGAATTTGTATCATGATCATTTCTATTTGAAATTGAAATAATAGACCATCTGTCTTTTGTTATGCTTTTTAATTGAATAACAAAAATATTAATTTTTTTGAAGACAGAAAAACAGAAGTTCAGCACCTTCAAATAAATACAGACCTTATGACATGTATCTGCAAGATGGAGGACTGTAAAAATGGAATTGATGCGCTCAAAGAAAAAATTCGTAAATCACCTTATTATGTTAAATATGTTGAATACCTAGCAAAGAAAAATCCCCCGGTAATGAACGTTACAGGAAACTGGCATGAAGACATTGGTATTCAAGCTGCTGCAGAAATCTTCAACATTAAAATATATGTTAATCAGATTCTTAATCGGGGCGAAAACAAGATTACTCTCTTTCTTCCAAAAGACACTGATGCTGAAAGATGGTTGAAAATTTCTGTAGATAAGGAATCTCGCTACAAATATTTATCAGGTGAACACTGCATGCTTAAATAATTAAAGATTTAAACCAAAATTGGGTTAAATTAACCAAACAATAATTGTCTGCAGCTTGTATGATAGTTTTGCACAATTTAATTTCAAAAATTAGATTTTTAATGATTTTAGCTCATCTGAGCCGAAGGCTCAAGTGAGCTTTTCTGATCACATTTTGTCCGTTTGTAAACTTTTTATATTTTTGCCTTCTTTTCAAGAACCAATGGGCCAATTTTAATCAAAGGTGGTTCGAATCATCCTTGCGTAAAGGAAAATTTCAGTTGTTAAAAATGAAGGACCGAGACTCATTACAAGGGGAGATAATCAAGAAAAGACAAATATAGGGCGGGATCATTAAAAAAATTCTTCTCAAGAACCACTGGGCCAGGAAAGCTGACACTGATGTGGAAGCGTCCTTGGGTAGTACAGATTTAAAATTTAAAAAAAAATCATGACCCCCGGGGTAGGGTGGGGCCATAATAGGTAATCCAAGTTTTACATAGAAATATAAAAACAAAATCCTTAAAAACCTTCTTAAGAACCACTGGGTCAGTAAAGCTAAAATTTATGTGGAGACATTTTTGGGGAGTGTAATTTTTTTTTATTGTTGAAATCATGACCCCAGCAGAAGTGCGGGGTCACAATAGGGAGTCCTGGTTTAACATAGAGATATACAGAATAAATCTTTAAAAAATCTTTTTCTCAAGAACCACTGCGCCAGGAAAACTGAGACTTTTGTGGAAGCGTCCTGGGGGTAATTTAGATTTTAAAGCATTACAATCATGACAGGATAGGGGGTAGGGGGTCGCAATTGGTATAACAAGACGGGAAAGCTGATAAAGAACTGCATCACCCAGGTTCTGCAGGTGAGTGATGTGGCCCAGGAGCCTCTTGTTTAATGATAAGCATTATGACACTTTAGATTACTTCAATAGTTATATAGAATAAATATGTCTTTTTCAAAAGTATTTGCTGCTCGCGAAAGGAGCTCGGTAGAGTAATGTGTAAGAACAAGAGATAATTTAAAATAAAATATTCGTCAGAATTCCTTTGGTACCAGGATTCCATGTGATAATTATTAATGAATAAATAACGAAACACTAAAAGACTTTGTAGAAAGCTTCAAAGAAAAAAAAACCCTACAATATCTTCCGTTAAAAAAGCGCACTAGGCCTGTATGCGTACATGTAGAGTTCATGCAACCAGACGCTCAACTGTAAACTCTGACGAGCTCCTTTACGTTTTGTGACATCACAGTCCTGTGCGACTTGAAGCTTGAAGCTTCGGATCAACATTACAAGTGAATTTGTGCTCGCCCTAACGGACACATCCAAAAACGTAATTAGTTTTTATTATTTTTTTATGCAAACAGTATTGGTATATTCTGTTGTATTTGGTTTCCAGATTGTGACACGTGTAATGAAGAAGAAGCAAAATTGTTGGAGTATGATGACGTTTATGAAATGTATGATCAAGATTCAACTAACAAAGAAGGTAATCATTTAATGAAAAAATGTTTATCCTTCGTCAGGAAAATTTGGCTTTTCAGATTTCAAGTTTTGAGGTAATAAGGAAGGGAAATTTTAAAATATGAATTTAGATCTATAATTTTGGAAATGATTGTTGGTAATACCTACAGTATATTTACCCAATTGGTACTTGTTTTGGAGCATCTTTATGCTAAAGTAACTATGAGTCCTATTTCGATCAATTTTACAAAGACGATGCATTAAAGGATGCAGTGGACTTTCTTCAGATAGTGACACTGGCATACATTTTCCAAATGAGAGACTATGGTTAAGCTGTAGGATCAAATTTATTCTAATTACTATTTTCTAAACCTTGACGTCGCCAGCTTGGCGCAGTGTTAGAGCGTCTGCTCTAGAGTCGCGAAGTAAGGAGTCAATCCTTAAGTCGTGGGTTAGAATCCCACTGTGGGACGTGAAGACCGGTCCTTTGGATGAGACCGTATAGACCGAAGTCTCGTGCCGCAATAGGTTCTGGCACGAGAAAGATCCTCCTTGCTCAATGGCCTTAAGTGCCGAGCTTAGGACAAAAATTTGCAGCTTTCCACCGGCAAGTGGTGGCGTCTCTATAGGAGTGAAAAATTCTCGAGAGGGACGTTAAACAATAAACAACTAATTAATCAATCAATCTAAACCTTGACAAAAAATGGATGAAGCATCTAAGGATGATGCACATTACCTGATCTGCTTTGGATGTTGGATTTTGCCTGCATATTCCAGTTGTTTGACCACGTTAAAGGGTTGGACACAAGTCGAACACTAACAACTTGAAGGCTCATATGAAGCAAATTTGCAAATATGATTTAATGTTATCCCGTTTTTGAATGTTTCACTTGTGAAGGGTTTTCACCATAAAACCGGTTTAGGGCTTCAAATTTAGACCTTTATGTGGCATTCGGGGCCATTTAGCAGTTAAGGTTTTTTTTTTATCATTCTAACGTCGTGACAACAGGCTCAGTTTTTAATGTCTTTTTCAAGACATCAACAATTTTAACTGAAAAGTTCTGAGTGCTTGGAGTAGAAAGAGTTGCCACCTATTTTTTTTTTACTTAGATCAGTCGCGGCCAGTAATTTAACACGATTGAAGCACATTTTTAACGATAACAAGTTGAATGTTTTGATATAATTTTATTCCCAAACTGCAAAACTGCATAAAAATGCATCTTGGGATGTACTTAACTAGTTTATAAATTTAAGGGTCCTCCACATACCCACAGCTTTATGTTCTTATATTATGTTCTTATTAAAAGTAATGCTCAATAATAATAATTTGTCTTACCGTTTCGTATATTTTTAAGCTCACAAAATAACCATAAAAACTTCGATCAATATTTTTTTACATAAATTATTTTATTTATAAAAAGTACATAAAACTCATTTTCTCTAAAATACATCTCGAGAAAAATCAATAAGGACTTTTGTAGAGAAAAAACATTACTTTATTAGATTACATCAAAAAATTGAATTAAAATTAAATGCACTGATGTAGAAAAAAAATCAAAATCTTTGATATCAAAGTTCCTTTTTAGAGTTATCTTTCTTGTTGCCAGGGACTCAAAAACTTTGGTAAGTCATTTCAATGCGAAATTTCATACTACATGTATATGAAGTAATTACTGGCCACTGAACTGGACAGATATAAAAGAGGGAAACTAGAAACGCACACTATTTTATCAATATATATAAAAATACAATGAGATAATGCATTATTAAAACGCGCAGATTAGTGTGCCGAAATTTCAAATATCAAAAAAGACTCGGTTGATTAGCCTGAACGTAAAAATAACCTCAACGTTTCTCATCATACCCGGAACCTGTTGTGTACTAATCATGATGTAACATATTCCAAGACGTCTGTTCTTCTTTTACTAAAAAAACGAACATTTTTTTATCGGTCACTACATGATCATGCCATGTATGTATTTTTATCTATATACGTCACAAGTCACATGGTTTGGAGGACCGTTAATGTGGGACTTTTCATTACTTAAAGACAAAATTCGTTGGAGTGACGTTTGTAATCTCTGATTACCTATGTTTAGTAAGTAAATTAAAAGAGTTGAGCAAAAAGTAAGTACATGTGAGTTATTCTATGCAAAATGGTTACAGGAAAGAGAGGTATGTTTCCCTATAACTCTTACATATAACATGTGTTACAAATATTCAACTTGTTCATTAAATGCTGGTATTTTTGGCTTGAAAAACAAAATATTTATATAAAAATTGGATGGTGACATTGTAGGTTAGAAAAATATATAAAACAGACACAATAATTCCTAGATCAGACCCAAGTCCTGAAGTATGATTTAAAAAATTATCACCTGTCTGTTTCATTTATCTTTCTTTGTTATGATACAGTAGTAAATGAAATTGACATTTCACGGGTATTTTTATTTTCTTAAAAAGGTATTCTTGTAGAGAAGTATTCTTTTTTTTTTCATAATTTCAATGTTTTAGTCACATTTAAAAGATTCTTTTCAATCCATATCTATTTGCACCTTTTTGAATGGATGTATGGATATTTCTTGCTAAGACATCCGTTATCTATAGAACGTTTTTTGAAAATATACAATAAAAACCAGTTTAAAATATGTGAATAGCAATTATCTTATACAATTATTTGTTTCAGATTTTTGGTTGAAAGAAGATGACTGCAGGATAAACTTTAAAAACATATAATAAATCATAAATGGGTCTGTAGTTTTCATTGGCACCTTCTGCCTTATTTGCATTCCAACAATGTAAAATCTGTTAATATTTCTATATAACGTTTCTATGTAATGATAGAAATACTGTAAATCTGGAAATTTTTACGTCGATTTATTTTTGCGAATTTGGGTCAAAAACCTGTTGATTATTTTTTACGCTTCAAATTTTTGCGAAATCTCACTGGCGCTAAAAATAAAAATCACTGAATATGTTCAAACCAGGTATTGTTTCGAATTAGTATGCACAGTTAGAATGCCACCAATTTACTCGTAACGTGGCAAGAAATTGCAGAATCGCTCTGAAACAATTTTGATAAAATACATGTAAAAGGATTTGCACTGAAAAAAAATTCTTAATTGATTATAACAAACATTTTAGAGGTTGTATATGCCTTTTAACCTAAAATATAATCCAAATGAAGTAAGAAATCTAACTAATTTCTCAACGTTTGGTTTTTTTTCACCTAAAGAAGAAGGTGTGGTTTCCATACAAATTTTGCCCTGTGATTTTCTAAAAAATGAAACTGGTGTAAAAGTTGAAAACTCATGTTTTTTAAATAATTGAAATTCAATGCAAAAAAATCATACAAATCATTTTTCTCACATGTGCTTTTAAATGCTAATTATGACGTCATAAACATGTGCATTTTCCCGTATTTTCTTAAAAAGTTGCAGAAGACACCAATTTTTCAATGGAATTTTCTTTCAGATAACATTGTCCACAGGCATCGCCCACAAAGATCTTGAGATATGTGATTTGTTATTGAATTTTGCACAAAATATCAAAAAATTAACGTGGGCGACGGCTGTGGACACTGTTTCCTAAAGGAAAATCACCCTTGAAATGTGCCATTTTGAGGCTCTTTCTGTTGAAAATAGAGAAATGCTTCACATTAATGACGTCATATTAGCAGAATGGTAAACCTTCATGCCATATTCTTTCCTGATTTATGATAGTGATTTATTTAACTAATATTTAAGCCAGTTTCAAAACTTTTTTATGTCATCACATTTTTAGGGCACAATAAAGCTAAAACTATACCTTCCTCTTTACACGCCGTGTTTACATTTTGATTTGGAACTCTTTAGTAAATGCACTGAGTTCGAGTTATCGCCCGTGTTGATACACGGTTAGATAAAATATCAGTTCTCTCTTAATTGGTAAAATAATTTAAAAGGGGCATACCGCCTCAGTGCTTGTCAAACCATCGGACGATATTGCACATAATAAGGGCAATTTACAGTCACCGGTAATTAAACTTGTAGTTATAGTAGTATAAACAGGTTTCTTTTAAAAATGACGAGTGCTTACCGACGCCTATTCTCCGAGTTAAAAAAAAGACACGAGCTCTCAGAAAAAAAATTCTTCATATGTTGCTTTATTTTTAAGAAAAATATTTTTGCGAATGCAATGCACGCGCAAATTTGCTAAAAAATTATCTACAGTAAAGATGTCCAGATTTACGGTATTATGTTGTACGAATTTCAGTCGGCAAAATTGATGACTGAACTAAATTGTCGATAGATTTTTTCGTTATTTTTCGATCATGACAAGAAGCACACGGAGGGTGTGAAGACTCGACAGGAGATACTCAATCCCCTATGGCACCTGATTCCACCTCTGAAGTTTCGGAGGTCTATGTTTGTTTTGCATCACATTTGTATTGTTAAATGGATATTCGCTATTACATGTAGTTATCTCCATGCATTCCACGGCAAAGTTTATTAAAAGTTTTAGAAAATAATTTACGACATTCAAAAAAAACTTGTGTGCGTTTAAACAGTCAAGTTTCTTGCTGGTGCCACGCACATTCTATGTTTTGTTAAATTTGGATGAAATTATACCTTTGGCCGGGAAAAAATGGACACTGTGAAGTTGGAGAAAACTGTTTTATTGAGCTCATTGTTTTTATTATTGTTGTATGTTATCATAACGATGGCTTATATTTTTACAGAAAGGGGTACTCTTTTAAGTAACATCACTGTGTCTGAAAATATAGATATTCATAAGGTTATGATGTTACATGTAAATAGAGGATATTCAATGTTTAATTTGTAGTTGAATATGGAATTTTGATATATAAAAAAACCCTGTCTCATGAGTGAAATAAATCCCATATTCAACTACAAACATCGAATTTTCTGTTTATTAATTTCTCTTTTTATGTATACACAGTTATATGCTACATGTACATGTACATGACATCATAGTTGAACGGTTGAGACGTCATAGCTAAGAGATTAAAACATTGTACATTAATATGAATTTAGGCAACATATTTGAGGACTTTGGCAGTCTTACATGTGTTCTCTGTCAGATTGGTTATTTAGTTT